CGGTTGCTTGGCTCACCGAGTCCATTCGAGACCATGGATACCTTCAAAGTCAGGTACATCATACTACATTTATAGAAATTCAAGCAATTGTAAGATTGCAATTCTTATTGTATATGTCAATTAAACTACCTTGAAGTAGATGACAGTGCTGATTTGGAGAGACTAAAAGGTTGTCTAGTTAACCTATTCAAAATCAAAGATCTTGTTTCCTTGAAGTACTTTTTGGATACATAGATCCATGAAGTGAAACCTTGTATCAAAAGAAAGTATTTTTGGATTTGATCAAGGAGACAGGAATATTGGAATGTCAATCTACCCATATTTAGATGTTTTAGTTTACCAGAAGTTACTTTGAGTTTAACATCTTTCCTCTATCAAATGAATCAGAAATAGTCTTCCTCCCCAAATTCTCTTTCTTTCTTTCTCTTCTCCTTCTCTTTCTTGTCTCCTCTATTTCTCTCTTATTCTATACCTTTCTTCTCTTCTTCTCTCCATTTCTCTCCTCCTCCTCTAATTCTCTTTCTGGGTCGCGTTCTGCAACATCAAGCATTTTCAATTTCATGCTATTTTTCTACCCGAATTTTGAACATATTTTCTATATCTCGTGCAACCCCATTATCTTTTTTATAGGAAAATGTGGAAGTTATCAATGGTTAAGGAAAGAGAGGTTTTTCTTTACGATTCAAACAATAACTCCTCCCTCCAACCCATTTATATATCATTGTGAGTTGCGTCAATCTACAGGGCAACCTACCCAATTTCCAATAATATTCAGATGGGAGTATTGGGGAGTACATAGATGGGTTTATTGAAGACTTAGAGAGAGGTATGGAACTCCTATAATCAAGAAGGTAACCTGTGTAGCTATATGCACGCCATATCAGTGAAAGAGACGTAGAACAAAACTGACGGCATGACATATAAAATATTATCTAAGTAAATTAAATTAAATGGTGAGAGAAGAAAAAATGACTGAGATCAGTTCAAAATAACTTCGATCTAAATTTATCACATGTTGTTTTCCTTTCAATTGATAAGTAACAATACCACCTTGACCACTCAAAATTCTTGCTGAAGGAGAAATAAAATGAGGCGCGGCTACACTAGTGAAACAATTTACGTTAATGTCGTAGTCACATACTTTGCACATCAGAGAAATAGAGTTACATAGCACATAATGGTGAATAACTAGTATAGACTAAAATATTGAAAATTCCATAAAGGAAAAGTACGGGCTTCAACATTTGGCAACTGAATTAGAAGACCTAAAATGACAGTTGGTGGCACTGAATGCAAAATATACTCTCTTTCAAAATGGTGGAATGTAACCTCATAATCCATAACCCAGTTTACAATATTTCACATTTGATCTAGACCTATATTGCATTCTGGTTCTTCAAATTGAACAATCTATGTGTTGAAAATTACTTGACTCAAATGTAAAAATTACAGCAAGTTCCTAGCAATTAGTATTTTCTTGAATCACTTCTCTGAGTACCAGTATCTTAAATAAACAACTCTACGACACCACAAACATTTAAGTCGATTAGTTGTAATGCACAAATGATAGTTATCAACAATATAACAAGCATATACGGTTCAAATACATCCAGAACTATAAAAATAAAATATTATGAGGTTATAAAATATTCTGAATGCAAAACCATACTTCTGGCACCTACAAAATCGTGAAAACACCATGCCTATAGCATATCATATATTAGAGACGAAGGGAGAAAAGAAACTGAATACCTTCTTAATTAATTGAACATCGTATGATCTCCCAAATTTATTCCGTATAAGAGTTGCCAGGTCTATCCCGCTGAAACTTGAGTCATCTGTCCCAACAATTTTTTCAAGCTTTTTCCTTAGAATTTCACTATTCACCTAAATAGATTTGAATTAAGACAAGTGCTCCCTTGTTGGCCAAAAACACATTGGGTACAATTGTATTGGAATAATAAAGGACAACATACAGATAACATCTTAAAGTCACCATCGTCAAACGATATGTGCACTGAGTGCACTCTGTCACGAAACCATCGCATAGACTACTTACCAGTGCATTAAAATACAAGTAGAGAGTCCCTATCTCAGGCTAAAGCAAGAGAGGCTAAAGAAAAATGCTTATCGTGCTATATAATGCAGAACTTCAGTATCTGTACTGTGGGATGCATATATGAACAATTAACTTGTCACATGGATTAACAGCGGCAAATCAAGCACTTGGTAGTAAGCTTGGATCCACTAATCATGCAGACAACACAACTGAAATAGGTCCCATTATCTACACAGCCAAAAGGCATTATAGACTTTTAACAGATAAACAAAATGGTCAATTGTAATTTTATAAAACAGATGTCAAAAACTTGACTAGCGATCAAATGGTAAAGCTGTTCATACCCATATGATAAGCAGACAATTAATAAAAGACTTTTGGTTAGCACAAACATTGGTGACATCTATCTCAGTCAATCCTATTGGCGTCTTTCTAAGGCTGACTTTGGAGACATCCTGGAACTAAAATCCATGAAACCAGTTAATAAATAAGTTTCTTACTCAATTCTATCCCAACAAAATAAAAATACCATATAGAACAATTAAAAGAAAAGCAAGCCTCAAGAAAAGAGGCAAAACAGGTCAATTTCACTATGGCACTGATCATAGCACTTAACGTCACCCAGCGAACTTTACAAAATATTTCATTCAAACCACCTTTTAGAAAAGTTAGTCCCCTGAGGATTTTCTGTTAAAAATGGACCCCAAACTGAATCGATCGTCTGACTTGTAAAGTTCTGAGTCTAGAACAAATTACATTTCAGTGACCATTAGTGAAAACAACCCGAGGCAAACTCAACTCACCGGTCCAATTTCGTTCTCTTCGGAATCACCCTGGTCAGTTTCGTCTTCGGAGTCATCCGGGTCCATTCCATTCTCCAGTTTACCAGAATAAATAGCCGAAAATCTCCTACTGCTGGGACCACTAGCTACAGGGCATGAAAATTGGGAAAAATACATTTCTTCTTTACCAGGATAAACCAGATTTGAATACCCAAAAAATTGAATACTGTAATTTCTTCCCTTGTGAAGAAGATGATTCTCCCCAACTGCCGAAAACCAATTCAGAGGGTAACTCCCTAGAATACTTGTCATCTCTGAAAAAACAATAATACAGTAATTATTTTGAGATTATTCACTAGGCAATAACGCATAGCATAATACTTTGTAAATTGATAAAAAAAAAAAAAGGTTCGGAATAGATAAAAACCTGATGTGCAGTCGGAAGTAAAGCGTTCTTGACTGGTTTGTTCAGTTGAAAGAGAGGAAAAGGTGGCCTTATTTTCACAGCACGTATGGCTAAGCTTAGTAATACTTTTGTACGCTAAAGAAGCAAGCTTTCAATCGTTCTTTGGTACTTCTTCCAAGGTCCGTTCAATCAAAAGGATAGACGTAAGATACGTATATGTTTGAAGTTGCTCTAATTTTCATGTTTTAACGGTTAAATGATAAGTTTCCTTATTTAGTATTAAAGTCACACTGATTTTAGAGTGAATTAAGATCGGTCCTGTAATTTGAAAGAATCGAGGAATGTGGAAATACTACTAGAAGAATGATCTAAAGCGAAATTGGAAGAACGTGGTTACGAGTATTGATCGATGCTTCCAAGAATATGATTGATAGACTTGAGAATCCAATGAAGTTTTCTTCATTTCATTATCTAGATTGAATGTTATCAATTAATTCTTTTAATCATATGAATTTTGAAGTAGGATTATTTTGGTATTTAAGTGGTATAATTGAGTTTCACTGATGTCTACTTTGGACATCAAAAGTAAGTTTAAGACAATATGTGTAAATGTATAGACTTCAATTCCATATTACTCCGTTCAAAATACAGAAATTTGAAATTTACCATTTTATTCTGTTCTATATGATATTGGATAAATATATGTGTTTGTACATTTGGTGCATATATTTTTATATTATGAAGCTAAAATGCGCATACAACTACGTGAAAAGTAAAGAATTATATTTAGCGTGTGTCTGTTTCCAATTTTTCCCAACTTTTAATCCCTTTTTGTACCGTTGGCAGCCGCACATGTTGACCTCATCCTCACAATGGTGGGATCATTATTGAAATTAACGGTCAAACAATCAATTTTCTGGCCAAGAAAATTGCTCCCAGACATGCCCTTACTAGAAAGATGGGAGAAAGAAGAATTTAAGGAGATAAAATGAAACTATATATGAGGTTACGAATCTCCTTAAGATGAATTTCATCCATACACTGGTTGATACATGACGGATACCTGTATTTTAAAATACAATGCTTTTTTTCAAAATTAATAAAACACAAGACCAACTAAATTAGGTTGTACCCTTCTAAACCAAATGATGTAAAATACTAAAATGTCGAATACTCAAACTCAAAAATAATTTGAAAATTATTTTGACGAAATTTGGAGAAAGTAATGATGAAAAACCAATATAACAACTCTTCATTATGCACACATTGCACTTGAAGAATCGCACATATTACAAATTTATTTCAATTCACACAATAATCATTAAATAAATCATAAATTCCAACGGTATGGATAGAAAAAATAAAAAAATAAAAAAATTCTAATTCTTTAGATCATTAAAAAAAAAAATTACTAGACTTATTGGTGCCAACAACATATTACTAAAGAATTGTGGTGCTTTAAAATATTAAAATGCTTTTAAACAAGATTTTATTGGTCACTGAACTTTAAACAAGATATCACTTCAGTCACGAGTGCCACTAAATTGAAACAAATCGAAAGTTAAGTGACTAATTTGGAACCCAAAAAATATTGGATGACGAAAATGGAAAAATGCTATAAGATTTGGGTTACTAACAGTTTTTTAACAATTTGAAAAATCTGCATATCTTGTTTCCTGGTTGAGGTTTCATGTAAAACAAGGAAAGGATAAGGTTCTCTCTCTCCCCTGTGTGTGTGTGAGGGAGAGAAAAGATGGCTGGAGCTGGAGCTGGAGCTGGATGCTGGATTTCACCCAGAAATGTCAACAGAAATGTTCGTGTTCGTTCATTTGAGGCCAAAACCAGATATTATGCAAAGAAAAATGAACTTCCATTAATGGTAACTCTCTGCACCTTACTTATCCTCCATTTACGTATTGCAATGAAACTTCTAAAATGCTAGCATCTCTATTTCCAGAACTCTCGGAAACGTTTCTAAAACTCAAAAAGGTTTCCAAATTCTTTTACTTAGTAGAGTTTTAATCAATGTTAAGTACATTTTTGTGTCCTATATTTTTTCTTTTTTTTTTTTGTCAAAAATGACATTTCTACGTATCGCATTACGTTTTCTGTGCAACCTAGACGTATATATGTTGTTTACTGGTAATTTATTATTTAGTTTATTGGGTTGTGAATGCATGTATTTAGAAGACAGGCAAAAAGAGTTCAAAAACACAGCAGAGTTTGATAAAAATATCAGCATCAGAAGGGAGATGGGATGGTGAATGGAATTCTCACTATAATCTATCTTGGCAACAGCTTCAGCTACAAGATTTATTACTAATGGAGGAGTGCAATCATAATTCCCACAAAAACACTCCTGTTTCCATCACTCTTTGCATTCAAAAGGTGCTTCTTTGCTTTAAAATTCTTTATAAATGAAAATTTGTGGATTTTTTTATTGTTGTGTTTATTTTACGAGGGCTTGCAGATTTTTCAGCTACAATCTTCTGAATGCGACACTACAATTGACAAGATTTTTGCTCCGTTTTCTTTTCTAGTACTGTCTAGTTTAGTTTGGTGAAAAAGGTTTCATTTTAAAATGTTGCTTAAACTATTCATGATTAATGTGTTTTTAACTTTAGTAGGATTGTTGTTGTAGCACACTGGATTTGGGCTCTCAGTTGAAGGAAGGATCATGACATGCTTCACCACAAAATGTTGCAACTGTTGCACTCCCTTTCTCCGACAGGTACCCTACATATTTTATCGATATATTGCGTCAAAGTTCTGTCTTAAAAAGTCTATTTTGTTAAGAGGAGTAACTAAATTACTTATATGTTAGTTATCTTTAACCCATGTGGGATTATCCTTTAACGTTAAAGAACATCAATCCTAAAATTGGATTGTCCCTTTGAGTTTGTTGGAGTTTGATAGTATTCGGTATATGTGTAGTAACAAACTAACCAACCCATTTATCTCTTGACCATTATATCAGATAGACTCGACATTTAAAGCTTGGGTTCTTCCATCAAGATCAAGCAGACAGAAAGACTCGACTGATCAACAACTTCCTGAGATTGGCATCGATGATCCTTCAGTAAGTGTCCTACTCATACATCTCTCTCTCTCTCTCTCTCTCTATCAATCTATATATCTATCTATTTGTGGATTGAAACTTGTTTAGACACTGAATACATGTGCCTTTTTTGGTCACTGAACTTCGAATTTCTTACCTCGTTAGTAAGTGTAGTCAGAGTCATCAATACAAACTATCAGAATTAGCATGTGGCGGACGAATATCTTGTGTCTTTCATTAAGCTACTAAGTCCACACGGTAAGCCAGCATGGAGAAATTGCAAAACCAAACCCTTTTTTAAGGCATTTGGTCAAATGAAAGCAAAAGCCAAGTTTGGTCGTATTGTGGAAAGAATAATGCTAATTAAATGAATTATTTGACTTTACATGTAAATGGATCTATCATTTAATGACATCTAATTGCCACTTGGACTGGTGCGGAAGAACATTACTCTTTTGTAAAAACAAGTTCGATTTTAAGAGTAACATTTTGTCCATGCTGGCAAGCTAATGGGACTTAATATCTGAAATTACTCCATATAAGAAATCTGTCCGCCACGTGCTGCTTTTGTTAACTTTCAAAGATTGAGTTGAATATAGCGACTAACTGGGTAAGAAATTCGTAACAAAATAAAATTCAATGACCGGAAAAACTGAAAAAGGCACACATACAAGTTCAGTTCCTGAACAGGGTTTTAAACAATCTATCTATATCGTGCACGCATACTCAAACACGAAGACAGAAAAAGATCTAACAGTAAGAGACCTTTATTTGCAGGTTATTTATGTGAAACCTGGATGTGAAGCTGATCTTGATTCGCTAGTACAGGACACCATCAGGCTGGCTATCTCAGTCAAAGTAGAGCAACACAAGTAGCCATTATCATTATTTCCATATAATGAAGTTTCATCTCATTCATGTGTGTGTCTTGCTCGTTTACTTGCAGGAAACTTGCTCGGATTCGTGTGACAAATCCGAACCTAAATTGCTACGTAAGGAACCATTATATTATAAATAGCAGATTAGTTGTGAAAATCGACGGACATTTAACGAAATTTTGGTTTCAGATTTGGGTGCACGGAATGCCGGCTCGATGGATAGGAGATGGTACAGACTATTAGAACTCAAGAATGCAAAAACATGACATTTTATGCTGAAATTCCGCAGTCATTTGATCACAAGTAGATAGGGGAAAACTCTGATTCAAATCCAATATAATACCTACAGATACATAAGAAATGTATTGCATCTTATCACAACTTTGTATTTGAAATTCGAAGGGATCTAATAGGATGTCGAGCATCTACCATGCAAATAATATTGATGCAATCTTTGTGTATACATATTGTAAAGTGAACATAGAGTTAGATTGCTGATCCCTTTAATTATACCTTACAACCGTATGCCTCAAGTCCCAGTTTCTGTTTTGAATCGTTCATTGATTTTCATACCTTTATAGAGTGAATGAATTATAGAATCTTTTTAAGTTGTATTAATTGTTTAACAGGTGAATTACACATATCACGATCACAGTGAAGACGATGAACACAATGAGCAGTTAATTAATTCTGAATTTGCCCCTAGAGTTTTACGCTGTCAACCCTCGTTGTTTCCGGCGGTTATTTTATGGTTATCACTACCACTCACCCTGGTGGTTGACGGATGGTTTTCCTTTCTTCTCTCAATATGTTCCCCATAATTGCCTGCTCCCATGGATAGCATGGATTTCACCGAACTTTGCATGGAACTGAAACACATAAGCATCGGATGCAAATCAATCGGGATTTTTTGAGTGATGGTATTTCCCATTTGGACAACAGGCAATAAACATGAGGGGAGAGGGGGCATGGGTGATCGTGAATGCGAGCATTCCTAGTCCAACGATGCTCCTGTTTCAAGTGGTTGAAGGGATGGAAATGGGTTACAGAAAATAGCAGGTTGTGGGATGACCGAATGTGAAGGGAAGGTGGTGTTGGAGGGGGAGCCGAGAGAGATGAAGGAGTTGTTAGTTCCTCCCTTGTTGCCTGAACAAGGGCAACACACAGGGAGAGGGTTGAACAGAAGTGGAGTTATGAGGTGTTGAGCTCCATTATTTTGCTAGCCAAGGGCGCAAAGAAGGGGAGTAAGAGGAAGGGAAGAGTCCGGTTCTCAAGAAGAGGGGTAGTGGACGGGAGTTTGGGCAGGTAAGTAGTGCTATGATTTGTGTGGGAGTTAAGATGGTTTAGGATAAGCTGGAAGAGAGCCTGAGAGAAAAAGTGGTGTCACGTTGGCGGGACACTACTGATTCTTCTACCTGTAAATATATGCTAGCAATAAATCATTCTCTGGAGCAAAACATTGCATGAAAAGGTGCCATATAAATTCCACGTAAAACAGTAATATCGGTTAACAAACAAAATCACCTATCATATGATCAAAAGAACATCGTGCCTAAGGCATTGTTTCTTGTAGTGCATCACCTCCACTGCCACTCTAATTCTTCCAAATTGGCTTTGCTTACATTCCAAGCTCCTTGTGCAATCTCGTGAAATAGTTGGTCCCAACCCCAACTCGAGTATCCTAAAAAGAACCAATAGTCATGGACAGTTTGGTTTCCTGCTCTAATTTCGTTTATTAGGTGAACTGTGGTCCACTGATCAAGGAAATAAATGCCGGGTAAGACTTCTACGCTCTCATCTTTTGAAAACTTGCGAGACAAAGTAACAAGTGGCATTCCTTGTCTCACCAAAGGACCACCAAAAGACAGGGGCGCCTCTTTTAAAAATTCTGAACTTTCTTCAATGCTATCCCAACTAATATGTTTATTGATAATCAGACCTTGAAATCCAGTGCTTTGATCCACCTTCACAATAAGAATTTTAGACTCGTCAAAAGGATGGACATCCAAAAGCTTTTCAGTTGCAGTTAGAATGCAACCAGCAACCACTTGAAGCCTTTCATTTGAGTTAAAGGGGAAACGTGCTCCAATCTTCTTGTCTTTAGCTCCCACTTTCAGCAACCTTTCACCCAGCAGAATTTCGTGCTGCAAGTTTGTGGTCTGAGGACCCACTTTGTCTAAATTCTGCCCCTGTACAATATCTGACCAAGGAAAAGGAAAATACGATCGGATCAAGTGAAAATAAACATCCAAGTAACCAAAATCTATCCCCTAATTTTCCCTGCAAAAATTCAAAATTTACGGCAATTGGGAAAATACAACTGATAAACCCAGAGTCTTTGGTTTGCAATAATATCATTGCGGCTTTAGACAAAAAGCAGTTGAATGATTTTCTCTCGTCATTAATGAAGCCCACCTAAAGATAGAGGAGGAAATGAATGTAGACGATATAAAAGAATTAGCCCCTGTTTGTTGGGGATTAAAATCAGACTTTTAGTAGATTTTGATAAAAGTTGATGAAATATGTGGTTGAAAAGTTGTAGGTCCCATAAACTGTGCGGTTAAAATTAGTTGTTGACTTTGATTTAGATTAACATCAGGATTTTAATTTATACCAAACAGGGGCATACAAAGACAGGATTAGTAAGCTGAAATTGTTAAGAAAACTTGGCATTCACCGGAGAGGATGAATATTTTGAGACGGCAACTGACGAGTGGTGGCATTTGAAATTAATTTAAAGTTCAGCAACTCCATTTGAAACTAAATTGAAGTTCAATTACCCAATTGAGACAAATTAATGCTTGACCGCAGACAAAGTTTACCCAAATGTAAACTAAGTATAAGTGAGACAATACTCTTGAATAAATAATGCAAGATATAGAATTCAAAACTGGTCATGAATCAATGAGGTCAAGGTTGCCGAACAACGAAAACTAGAGCAACATATTGTGATCAAAGCAACTAATAGTAAATGATGCAGAAAGGTGAAAATTTCAAACATGCAAGGTCGAGGATTCAAAAGTTGATATGGGATAAAACAGGTCAGGGTCCCTTTATGCTAAATTCGATCCTGAATTAGCCAAAGGTGTTTCAGCAGCCAAAATAAGAGGAGATTTCATCTATGGAATCCTTTAATGCACACAAAATAGAAAATATAATCAACCTAGAATACTTGCCTTTATCCATGACAAGATCAAGTAAATGACTCCCATGAGCAACTAAAAATTTGATGATGTCAGCTACAGTAATATCTCCGTCGTAAGACACGGCCTCTTTCCTTTCTGGTGGAAATAACAACAGATGCGGATAAAGTTCCCTCTGCATAAGGATGACATTTGATAAACCGGCCAAGTTATGAAACCTCACATAATTATCATATCTGGCAAAAATAATAGGAATTCTCCTAGAGTTCGTCAAGCACAGCTAAACCCAAATGCACATAATCCTTAAAATTGAGAGAGGGGTGAAACTTAAAATAAATTTCCAAGGATTTGCATATGTGATAAAGGAGGAATCACGGCATTTTTTTTAATCAATTAGATTGAAATTTAAAGTGTTTGGGGAGGAGAGCTGATATTAATTCACAAAAACTGCTACTACTTCAGTTACTTGTTGACATGAATAACAATCTTACAAGCATTTAAAAGTTTGCATTCCATTGTCTCGGAAAAAGATAAATGGATGCAATTGATACAGTACAGCCTGATTGTTTATGTTAAAAAAGTACAGATTATGCTATGCAACTACATATAGTTCATCAAGCAATTCTTTCCATTATGATCTGAAGGAAGCCAGAACCCCTGCAGATAGGTTTGAAAGGATTTTTTTATTGAAAAAATCAATGCTGATTAGTTCCATCTCAATAAGTATTTTCATCTGTCTTTAGCGAAACATAATTTAGGGCCCTGTTTGCTCCACATCATTCTTTTTATTCTCATTTTTCTACTCATTTTCAACCACACATTCTTCAATAAAATAATATTTTACATCACATCAATAACTTTTCCTTCTTTTTCAATCACATATTCCCCATCACGTCAACAGTAAAAATGCATTCCTACCTTCAAAATGTTCACCAAACGGGGGCTGGATATATAAATCTCAGAATAGTTAATGGATTTGAAAATTGTTATGGATGTTCGGTGTCCGTCATTATTATTTCTTTAAGCCCAAAATTATTGACACGAGCAACAGGATGGTCAATTCTATTCTTTTTCACAGAAAATGATAACATGGACAAGTCAAAGAGAGTACGGCGAGAAAATTTCTTGAATATCTTATTCCTCCATAAATATTTAATATTTCAAAAAATCCCTTAGTAGATTCCACATTAGTTTTAGGTTTCATGCATTGTTTAGCTAAGCTTAGAAGTATGTAAAATGTATTTCGGTAGTTTCTTGTTCCCAAACATGTTTGGATAAGTTAATTATTTCATACTTTCAAGAAGAAAAAAGTTACTTATTTTGAATGAAAACTTACATTATTATGAACACAAGTAACTTACTTTCAACTTTGATTATTAAAAGAAATTATTTTTTTTCTAAAACTAGTTACTTACAAGTTACAAGTTAAATTTTAAGCTTAGCTAAACATGCACGTCTGTTTATGTAAGTTGTTTTCGTTCTGGGGGTACTTGAAGTTTCAAGAAATCTATAATTTTCATAAACGCGAGAACATGTCTTAACTTAGATTTAAGTCGTAGAACTTTTAAAGTTATGTCATTAGTTCATAACAACCAAAAAAGGAAGACGTATGCATGTAAAATTGTACCTGGGACATATTCAACGGCTCAAAGCCAATAAATAAGCCAAAATCTTTGAGGGTTTAAATTCTTATTCCATTGCTATTTAACAAAGGTCAGCAAAGCCTACTAGTTACACAAAAGAAGTTCTTCACGTGTTACCATAACTCGCACCTGCAATGTAGGTTTCAGGATGAAGCTGCAGTCATTTTGCATGCAATCCATCAAATATATAAGTGGGAGCTTCGATACAGCATCCACATACTCTGCAAATATCTAAATCGCCAATCAGTCGACAATGCATCAATTTATAATCATCCATACTATCATCTTATCACCATGATAGGCGATAATTGATAAATGAGTTCCTTAATTAAGAAAGGAAAAGAATTCATATTAAAACAACAAAAAAAATAAAACAAAAATTTTATAGGGTCTATCAGCAAAGAAAGAATGATCATAGCACAGATGTAAGGCAATGCACTTCTTACCACCAGTCAGCATCAATTTCTCCTTCCTTAATCC